TTGCAGCTATTCACTAGACACTTCTTGAGTCTTTTGCATTGGAGCCCGGTGTGGGTTTAGAAGCTTTGAGCAAAGCGATTTCTGTGAGCTTACTGGGATGAGAAAAGATGTTTTTCTTTGAAATCTCAGTGGTTTACAGCTGATAGGTCAGCTTTTCTCTAAACAGAAGCCCATTGATTGCCTCGTCAACTAACTGTTATCCGTGATCAGCTTGGGAAATGAACATGAATATTATTCAGTTTAAAAAAAGAAAAGACAATTACCTAAGGATGTCTGATAGGCAGATTAGGTCACAGCTCAAACGTTTTTCACTGAGTCAATCAGCAGAAGGCTAAACGGCTCAATAGATAACATGCACACGGTTCACTCCTGTGCCCATTTGTATGGAAAAATACTCACATGAAAACTGACTTTATACTGACAACACTGATGAAACTTCCTTTTCTGGGACTGGAGTTTGACCTGTCCAAGGTGTACCTCGGCTATCTCATCAGTCATAGAGTGCACACCTACAGACACCACTACCATGAACTGGGTAACAAATGGATGACATATCAGTCAAACAAATTAATTATCCAAATTGCTCTGACAATAAAAGCATTTTTAAAAGAACATCAGTACACATCACAGCTAAAAAGACCATCTGAGGTGAGTCATACACATATACTACACATATTTGTCCTGATCACCACAGTTATCATCCTACAGGGTACATTCATTGGCAATCCATCCACATGACAAGACAGCTAAAAACCACAAATGCCAGATTTCTGCTAAAGGAAAAGTCAGAGGCTCACCAAATATAAATTGTAATTAACTGCCAGTTTTTTTAACAGTAGCAGCAATTTTTTAGTGTGCATCACAGCAGCCAAGCCAAAAGCCAGGGAACATCTCTTTGCGTGTGTGTATACGTAGCTGCCTGGACTCAGCAAAAATTTTGGAAAGTTGTGAAACTGCACACGTGCGCCTCTGATAAGCCCTGTGCTTATCTGCCACTGACTCTGCTTCTTTGTTCCTGTCCTCAGTCTCTCTGACCTGGCCTGACTGCATCCTACAGATGTCCTGTTCAGCTGCAGCTGGACACAGGACCTCTCCAAACACACACACAACGTTACTCTGAACCCGTCACATTCCCGACACAGTCTGGGGTCCCTGGTGTCGTAAGGAAGCCACGTGGGGGCTCAAATCCAGCGTGGTTGTGGGTTGATTATATAACTTAATTGCTTGGGTTGTTTCTTTCTTTTTCTTTGTAGTCAAGTTTTTGTTCTTTTGTTCTTTCTTGGCCTCATCCTGCGCCACTTACTCGTGCCAAACATCCACCACCACTGACATAACAGCAGGGCTCCTTGGCGATCGCTCTTATTGGCTGACGGTCAACTTGTGGAGCATAACACTTTCTTTGAATATGAATGACATTAAAATAAACACAGAGAAACACCTGTAGTTACAATTGAAATACGTGTAGAAAACACTATGGCCGTGTGCCAATAAACATGACAGAATATGATCTAAAGCGCATCGCCTCTCTTACGACCCTTGTTCATTGTGTTTATCAGAAACAGCACTGATACCTGGTTCATAAATACCGAGAATACATTTTTTTCTTATATCACTGTTTAACAGAAGTGTTGGGAGTTGTTTTATGTGTTAATTCTTGAGTTCTTAAGTTCTTTCTTTTACCAGAGATGTGGTTTAAGCTCCAGTCCCGGCTGCTCACGAACATTAAAAACTCAAAACTTCAGATTCTGATTCAGATTTTTTAAACACAAACTTTAACTTTTGTAGCTATATTTAGCGCTTGATCCATGCTTCAAAACACAAGAAACAACGGAAACACCTAGATATACTATAACTGATACTGTTTTATCACAGGACACCTTGAGGATTTTGAAAATGCATTGCGCATGCCGTGAGTTTTGAAATGACGTGGGCCTTTCAAACCAACACATTCTCACTCCCTTTAAATTGATTGTTACCTCCGTGACTCAGATTGTAATACATTAAAGTCACAAACTGGAGCTAATGTGTACCACTTGCATCATAAATACAGTGACGTGCTCTGATAGGGTGTTTTAAAGCTTCAATTTTGGTTTGCTGATTGCTACTGTCTTTCACTGGTCACGGGAGAAAAAAAATCCTAATCCCAATTGAGGTGTTCTCAGTATGACCTACACTAGAGGGGAAAAAGTGCTTTCTACTGGATATCATGGAATCTGACAGGTGACCATGTTAACCAGAGAGACTCTGCAAATCAGAGAAATGCACTGGTCTGAGCCTCAGTAAATATGAGACCACACCACAATCTGAAAGTCTGAAACAAACAAAACAAATATTCAAATATTTAAAAAAAAAATACATGAAACTCACTCCCCAGCAGCAAAAGTTTAAGGTTTTAGTCTCAGAATGGCGAATGCTTGCACATGGCTCATGTAATTCTGTGCTTTTCATTATGATTTCACTAATCTGAGGACACTGACGACAGAGCTATCCCAGATTCGCAGGGAAGACACGCAAAAGAGGAACGGACCTCTCTCCTTTTATTCCCATCTTTTCCCTCTTCACTTTTTTATTTTTCAGGAGCACGATGATATTTAGCTCATTAACATGTCGCGACATCTCCTCTCCACACACACGGCTCAGCTGATGATGGGGGAGCTCGAGACAAGCGATTATCAAAACGGAGGACAGTGCGCCTTTCTCTCTCTCTATCTCTCCCTCACACACACACACACACACACACACAAACACACACAGACCAAGATCCCATCAGGACACTGAGGCCAAGAGCAGCAGCATCACCACACACAGATCAACTGGATATCTTGTTTACTGCTGTGCCGGATGGTTGCTAGGTATTTATTAAGAGTTAATTATTGGCGCATGATGTTTGATTTAACCTAAGTTCGCATATACTAATTATTTTTAACATACATCTTTAATTTATTTCTTATAGGCACTGGCATATCCATCACATTTAATGCTTTGAAGAGATTTTCTGGTGCTTTAAAAGTAGTTTCTCGTCATTCCGTCTTTAAATGTTTCACATCTGTGCATTAAAAAGTGTATTTGTCGATCTACGAATTAACTTCAATAAATTTGACGCATTTATATGTCAATAATTTCCAATAGAATATTAATACCTTTTTATTCTATCCATCAAATACATTGATAGTGAAAATTATACAGTTAAACTCTACCGTGCTCTTATTTTGAAACCCATTTGGTTATGGTAAGAGTTCTGTTGCGTGTATATGCTAATGATGATAAAAACTTCACATTTTTCACACTCTCTCTCTCTCGTACTCACACTGGTAGGGTGGATGAGCGGTAAGGGAAGCAGGGACAGCGGGATGAACACCACAAGGATCAGCTTCCTCGCCCTCCACAGCTTCCTGAACAGATCCATCCTGGCTGCGGCCTCCAGCCTCATGGGTGACCCGGGGCTCTGGGTGGAACCGGCCACAACTCAGCAGAACCGGGCGTAAGAGTCAGAAGTGGCCTACGGAAAGCCTCAAGGCACAGTCAAGCAGGGAGAGCCGGAGGAAAGAGGAAGAGGGGGGTACGGTCCTCCAGGGAGAGAGTAAAGTTCTGAGTTTGGGCTGTACGCCTTAACGCACAGACGGCGGAGCCTGATCGGGTTCTCGGTGAGGTGAGAGAGCTTGGCTGAGCTTTACTTCCACGGTGACTTTTATTCGCACTGTACACTACACACGAAGGTCCCCCTCTTCCTCTCTGTGTGTGACGCTCTTCGAAGCATCAGGTGAGCGTGCCGGCGCATTTATCGGACTGCACAGGTATGCTAATTAATCCCAAGGTTTCCCCACCCTCTGTGGCTGTGAGGCCACCAATCAGGGCGGGTGAAAAAAGTTTGCGCAAGGGTGTGTGTGTGTGTGTGTGTGTGTGTGTGTGTGTGTGTGTGTGTGTGTGTGCAAAACACACATACACACACAAAAACGTGTTCAAGGGATGAGAAGGAAATACCGCGAGATTAATCAATTATGTAAAAAAAAAAAACAGTGGCTCGTACACAAAAACTGTTTGTCTTATAAAGTGAATCATAGCAATTATCAGAAGGTTTCTAAAGTCATAAAACAAAGCGCCTCAAATCAATCAGGTCAAACAATCACGAAACAGTGATCCAATGATGACGATCAAATAAAACAAACAAGAACGCAGCAAGAGGACAAAACATTATTCTTTTATAATTATACAATTATTCTCCCCCCGAAGGGAGGGAGTAAGTAATCGGCCTGTCTGTCTGTTTGTCAGCAGTCTAGTGTCCACAGTTGTGGAGATATCATTTTCAAACTTTGAGTGACGGTGGATACCAATAATAGCTCGAGCTGATTTAATTTTGCTGAAACATCAAGGTCACACCAAATGTGAAAACCAGTAGAAACGTTTTTTATAGATCATCTTCAAACTTCACAGCAATATACTGGCCTTGTGCGACATGAGTACCCAGGCTGAAGAAGCATTTGACCTTGACCTTCGTCGTTAATGGCCAAGATCAAAGTTGACCTTGAAGAAAAATTTCAGGGAACCATATCGAGTAATATGTCATACAAAAGGCCATCAAGACAGCTGCACAACACTTGTGCAGAGAAGTGACACAGTGTATTTGATTAGATTTTTTCAATATGACATCACAAACAAATCACACATTGCATTAATATCTTAGAATATCAAGTTTTTAGAGCTTATAGAAGCCAAAGATTTCAGCAAGTCATATGGTTAAAGATAATAGCATACAAGATCAAAGGTCAGTGTCACACAAATTAGGAAAAAAAACTGTGGCTCATATATTAGTATGTATTAGTCATCGGGGGACATAAGCAACAGGCTAATGTCATGTTGTAATAAAAGCATCATAAGGCATCAAAGTGTTAGCATAGCTCTTGACCTTCTGTGGAAATGTCACTGTTGTTCTTTAATGTTTCAAAATGCAAAGTTGGAAGTTTTGCTTTGAAATTGTTTTTGGACAGTGGGTGTGCATAGTCCTAACTTTTGGAACTGCAACATAAATGAGGGGTTAATGGAGAAAAATGTATTTATATAGGTTTAAACTATGTTATTCTGTATGTAACAGAAATCCCTACCACACCAGCAGGTATAAAAACATAACACAGGAGGCCAGTATGGAAACCATTGACGTGTGGCCGCATTCATACACTGCCATCTAGAGGATTCACCGAGTTAATGGCAACAAGTGAAGTTTCTAAACAGCTTTCCTCCACCAGACTCCTGCTGGCCCTGACAATGATGTTAGTGTTTAGCCTATTGCTAATCCAGGTAGAGAAAAACTATATATATATATATATATAATTGTAGAGTCTAGAACATGCTGTCGATATTGAAAGTTCTGCCCTGCAGTTGTTTCAATCACATCTTTCTAATAGAATCCAATTTATTCATGTAAACCGGAGTCCTCTTCACACAAAAAGGTTCATTATGTAGTTCCACAGGGCTCCAGTTCTGTTTACATTATACATGCTTACCTTAGGCAGTATCATTCAGAGGCATAGCATACATTTTCATGGGTATGTTGATGATACCCAACTCTAGCTATCCATGAAGTCAGATAACACACACCAATTATTTAAACTGCAGGAATGTCTCAAAGACATAAAGACCTGGATGGCCTCTAATTTCCTGCTTCTAAATTCAGATAAAACTGAGGTTTTTGTATTTGGCCCTGAAAATGTTAGAAATATGGTATCTAACCAGATTCCAGTTCTGGGTGGGATTACCTTGGCCTCCAGTAACACTGAGGAACCTTGGAGTCATTTTTGACCAGGATATGTCCTTCAATGCACATATTAAACAAATATGTAAGACTGCTTACTTGACACAATATCTCTAAAATTAGAAACATCCTGTCTCAGAGTGATGCTGATCACTCAGAGTGATTACTTCTAGGCTACAATATTATAATTCTTTATGATCAGACTATCCTATAATATAAATATAAATAAAATATATAAATAAAATAGATTTGAATTTAAATTAAAGTTATCCTCATAACAAATCATTCAACAGAAAATATGATAGTAAACAGCAGCACAGCAGTAAACAGTTGCACATCAACAGGCTTTGTATACTCTGAGACTTCTCTGCATGTTTATATCACTTTACTTATTAAATATAATAAAGTTTTATGCGGAGCTTCTCTGAAATCCTGCTTATCCAGAGAGAGGGAGCTGTCCACCCTTCTGTGGTGCTGAAGGCTGCTCATTAGTTTGTTTTCAACACATCATTAGTTTGAGGCATGATCAGTACAGAACTGTGTTGACTACAGGTTAAATGTTGTGTTTCTATGTATTTATGATAAAATAATAGAATGTTTAAAAAGTAAATAATGGCAGATAAATAATTAGAATATGTCTAATTAAAATAGGAGTAGAGAAATGTTTAAAATGGAATTTAAAAAAAAGGGAGGTCTGGTTGAATTTGAATTCATTAAAAAAAGCCAGGGGCAATTTAAAAAAAACTGGAAAACTTCTTCTATGCTGAAAAACCAACTGGTGGACCATCTC